TAACCTAAAGGCATTTCTCTTTAACAGAATAGTTATTTATTCTCTTGAATATCCTTTGGAATATTCTACTGTATGTGTAATATGTGATATGATTGAGGCTTTCCAGAAACTATTGATTATACAGTCTCAGGGAAACCTTCCATTTTATTTTTAAAAGATGCTCTATCTCTTTTTTCTTTTTGGTCCAAATATTTTGCCAAAAGCCTAACTTTGTCTCCGGAGTGAAACAAATGTAGCTTACATTTTGGCCCTGTCACCTTCCACCTTAGTCCCTGAGCAATTTATTTTTACTTTCCAAGATGTAGTTTTCAGTACATAAATTTTAGGGTCTTTGGGAGCTTGGACGGATTTATATCTACTCAATAAATGTTAGCAATTATATTTACTTTTGTAATGTTAATAGCAGCATTTTTAGTACTAGTGAGTCATTATTTACTGTTAGATATTTTGAAGCAAAAAATGATTTAGAATAATCTGATAGTTTAACAGGCTCTTGTATTTGATAGACTTGAAAAACAAATGAGAATGACTAAATTTACTTTCTATATATAACATTTTAAAGAAAGTTAGGTTAAACTATAAAAGTGATACACTTAACTATATTTCAACAGCATGTAGAATTTTTCTAAAACATGAATCTCAAGGATAAATTATATTTCAAATTCAAGTTATATTAAAAATCCATGGCCACATTTCATAACTTTAAGAACAATGTATAGGGTACATAGAACGTAGAATAAATTTGGCGTTACCGAAGGATGGGTTTGTGGCTTTATGTTCTCAGTCATCTTAGTTCCCTTATTTCAATTCAAGTAACTAAAATGATACATTTTTGCTTTTCAGTCACTCAAGACTGCTTGCAACTGATTGCAGACAGTGACACACCTACTATACGAAAAGGTAATATAATAGTCCCAGTAATTTTTCCACTTAGAATTAAGTCTAGTCCATTTACTTGTAAGTTTCAAGTTCGAAGACTATTTAAACTTCATCTTGAATCAACTCTTTACCTCAAAACTTTTTATAGTCAGATGTAAAATAATAAACTTAATTTATTCAAAATGATTGGGGAATAAATACTTAGGCTAATGTTATATCAAAACAGAATTACCTTAGAGACACTAATATTTAGAAACTTTAAATAATTACTGTACAACAAAACAAAAGCAATACTAAAACAAATTCAATGTTTTCTTATTTAGAAATCATTTTGGCTTCTATAATGCCTCAAGATCATCTTCATTCACAAACATTAATTCTCCTATAGGTTGTAGAATCATAATAGAATGGATAAAACTGAACATATCATAAACACCTTATATCAATTAACTTATTAATAAATATATAATATGTACAAATAAATATAACATTTTATGAAAAATATGAATGTGAAATTATTGCTTTATATTTTACACATAATGGTCAAGAATATACAATGTTACTTTATTGTGTGGGCACTGGGGCTTAGCAGTGACTGAAATATGCATAGTTCCTCACTTTTGTGGAATTTACCTTCTAATGGTTCCTCACTTTTGTGGAATTTACCTTCTAAATGTAGAAAGATAACATTAAATGCTATGGAGAAAAATAAAGAAAGCAGGGGAATGTTTGGGGTGTGAACCACCAAAGGGAGTTCAGAAGTGTCAGGAGGTTAAGCTGGGACCAGGAATGAGGAAACAAGTCCAGATAACGAATTTGGATTGACTTTTGTAATGATTCCCAGGAAAGCTGTCTTGCATCTGTATTTTTCTGTGTGGCTTTAATTATTTCTAATGTAACACAAATATTAAACTAGTTGAAATCTATTATTATTTATTGCTCTTCATTTTCCAAAGTTATATGCTTGAAACTTTTAATAGGCAGCAAACTGTTTCCTAAGAATTAAAGTTAAGTTAGAAGAAGACCCTGAGGACCAAATACAAAAATTTTAAAATATAACTTGGAAAAGATTTGTTTTATACATTGGGCCAAAAACAAAAACGCTGTAAATCACACAAAAAGATTCAGCTGCTATTCCATTTTGAGTATGAATTGCACAGTGTTATAATCTTCCTGGTGTTGGGCTGCTCTCCACTGATCCAAGGGTGCTTATCTGAGTGCCTTGCCCTTTGGACCCTTCGGTTGGCCTTTTGATGCCAACAAGCCTTGAATAGTATGTAAATGTAAATGTGTGTGGACATTTTAGCAGTACTGCTTTACTGTGCCCCATAAGTTTTGATATGTTGTGTTTTCATTTTTATTTGTCTCAAGATTTTTTTGATTTACCATTTTATTTCTTTTCTGACCCATTAATTGTTCAGCAGTGCATCATTTAATGTCCCCACATTTGTGAATTTTCCAATTTTCCTCCTGTTATTAATTTCTAATTCTATGCCATTGTGGTTGGAAAAGTTACTTGATATGACTTCAGTCTTATTAATTTTGTTAAGACTTATTTTGTGCCCGAACATTTCATATACTTGAGAATTTTCTTTGTGCACTTAAGAAGAATATATATTCTGCTACTGTAGAATGGAATATTCCGTATATGTCTAAGTTCATTTGGTCTGTAATGTTGTTCAAGTACACTACTTCTTTATTGATTTTCTTTTGGATGATCTATCCATTGTTGAAAATGGGATATTGAATTCTCCTACTGTAATTGTATGGTTGTCTACTCTCCCATAAGAGCTATTAATATTTTTTTCATATATTTAGGGTCTCCAATGTTGAGTAACAGGTATATTTGTTATATCTTCTTGATGAATCAGTCCATTTATTATCATACAATGACCTTTTTTGTCTCTTGTGACAGTTTTCAACTTTAAGCCCATTTTGTCTGATATAAAAATAGCCACATCTCTCTTTTGTTTACCATTTGCATAGAATATTCTTTTTTAACCCTTCACTTTCAGCCTATATGTATCCTTAAAGTTAGTGAGTCTCTTGTAGGCAGCATATGGTTGGCTTTTCTTTTTTTTAAATTCTTTCAGCTACTCTACACTTTTACTTCTCCCTTTTCCACACTTAATGTTATCGATGTGACAATTTACATCTTTTTATATCGTGTATCTATTAACAAATTATTGTAGTTATAGTTCGTTTTAATACATTTGTCTTTTAACTTTCACACTAGCATGAAAGTGATTTACAACTCATTTCAGCCATTTCTTCCAGGTTGTTTACTGGGGATATATTTTCTTTCTTTGTGTTGTGCTTTCTTTATTCTTCATGTTCCTTGTAGATTTGCTTTGTTGTCTGTGCATTTGAAGAAGCAGCAACCTGTCTCAGTCTCCATGGACTGATTTGTACAGGGAGACATGTTTGTTGGTCTGCAGTGTTTGTCATTAGTGACTCTAAGGCTGGGTCAAGGCCCCCTTTGCTTCCTTTCTTCCCTCCTGGAGGAAAAGTAACAGTTCTTTGCTTTTCCTCAGTCACACTCAGTCACGCTCTCCCCTTTACTTTGTTTCTAACTGTATCAGGGGACAAAGCTCTTTTGGTTGTTCATTGCTCAGTATGAGGCAAGATAGAAACCAGCTCCACAGAAGGCACTCTGAGAGGCCACGTGGCCCAGTGCACCCACCAGTCTCACCATCCTTTCCTGGGAGAATCATGGGCTGAGGTGATGTTCTCGGTGCTGAATTAATCCTGTTTAGGGGAGGGACCGATGTGAGTAAACTGAAATTGCTCTTCTTACCCATATAAATGTGACTGCTTCTTAGTTTGTGTTCCTCTAAGGTGCTTCTGCTTCTTAGCTGGATTCTGAATTTCTCTCTAAGGTATTTTGGTACCAATATTATTGTTAACGCAATGTTTCTGTGGAGGGATGATGTGTAAGACTCCTTACTTTGCCATCTTGCTGACATGATCCTTCCTTCAGAATTGTAAATATGACATCTTACTGCCTTTTGCCTACATGGTTTCAAGTGAGAAATCAACTGTTAATATTTTCTTTTGAACGATTGAACAATATGAGTATTACAATTGATAAGTCTAGAAATTATATTTTCTCCTATCCCAAGGATTTGCTATTGATTGTTATGGGCTGCAGTTGTCCATTTGTTTATTATATTTTCAAAAATGGTGGGGGTTTTTTGGTTTTTTTTTTTTTTTTTTTTTTGCAAAGACTGTATTCCTTGTCCTATGTGGTCACTGAAGTCTCTTTTTATTTGTTTTTTATCTCTGCAGTTAGCCTGACAAAGATTTTTCAAAATCTCTAGTCATAATCCTGACAGAGATTTACTTAAATACTAGAAATGAAAAAAAACAAAACAAAACTCTCCTTTTTTTGGCAGATTGGCTCTGAGCTGGGGCACTCTTTCAACATTTAGCCAGGTTGCCTTAACTTCCCCTCCCACTTGTACAGAGACCGAAAATCACCTAGAGGTGTTGTCTTAGGATTTTTTTCAGGTCTTTACTGAGCATGCATCTGGTTCCGTGCATGCATATTGCATTACAGATTCCTTGGTGTATGTGGTTCAAAGCCCTTATTCCTTTAAGTATCTTGCTTCTTAGCCTCCTCCTTCTCAGGCTTTTTGTTGCTCTGCTGCCTCCCCCACCTGCCATCCCTTCAGGTAGCTACAGGTAGTGTATGTCTTTAAAGCTTTTGATTGACAACAGCATGGGAACCTGCTTTCATCAGAAGTGAGCCTTTAGACAGGTCAAAATGCACAGCCAGAATGTTTTGAGAATAAGGTTGAGTATTTCACTCCCTGGCACCAGCAAGGTGCCACCTGGAACTCATTCTACTATTTCCAGGCTGCAGCTAAGCTAGAGAATGGTAGATGGTAAGTGAGTGAGGAAAAATACTACAATACTTTCTTATTGAAATTTAACGGACGCTTTCTTTCTCATTAAGCACTCCTTTGGTACTATAAATTTTGTACATACATACAGATTTCATACATACAGAAATGTTGATTCTGTAAATTTCTGCCATTTCAATTGCTGCTTTGGTGAAGGGATATACTTTTTGAGCTTTCTACTCTGCTATTTTCCATGATATAACGCTGACATCTATAATTATATCTTTAGACAATATCTATTGATTGTCTACGCTGGCTTATGACAAAATTAATGATTCCTCTTTATTCTCTCTATCTTTACTGTCTATCATACATTTTTTAGATAGTAATATTATATTTATTAATTTTTATCTATGTACTATTAAGTATTTATATTTCTATTACTTGATCTGTCAACTTTAATTTATATCCTTTGAACTCCAACTATTATAAATGGGGCAATTGATGATTTTGCTACCAATATTTTTCCTCTTTTTCTTCTCAATATTTGTTAGTTATATAATTTCTACATTATCATGACATGAATATATTTTATTCTTTCTGTCAAAATGATACTTTAAGAGTTTTCATCTTGGAATTACAGATAAATATATTCAATACTTATTGTAAGTCTTTTTGCCTTATTTTCCTCATTCATATCTTAGTTTGCTGAATTTCATTCTCTACTAGTTTACTCAAAATGAGTTCATGAGAAAAATGCTCACTAAGTATTTTCATTGATAAAGCAGCTTCTTTTTAGTTTTTATACTCTGTGGGTGAAATTCTCAGTTTACCGTTTACTGAGTATCTAGGAAATTCTCCACTATCTTTTGACATTATATGCACTTTGGAGATAACTAAAGTAAGAGAAATTTTTCTTCTCATAAGTGACTTGAGTTTCTTATCTGGTTATACAAAAAATTATTAACTTACCTTAAAAATTTAATCCTTATTTTATTATATATCTCAGAATCGACCATTGTGGTAGGTAGAGTAATACCTCCCCAAAGATGTCCACACCCTAATCTTTGAAACTTGTGAGTATAACCTTACAGGGCAAAAGGAAATTTGCAAGTGTGATTAAGATAAGAAATTTGGGGAGATTATTCTGGCTTATTTGGGTGGGTCTAGTATAAT